CAGGCAGACCCATTAAAATGGAAGACATTTCCTCTTTCTTCACTTTAGCTTGAAAATGAAAGGCCAGAAAGTGGATCTAACGTTTATAATGGGACCGATCGAGAACGAGCTGATAAAGGTAGATCTTGAAGTTTACTCACAGCACCAATACTAAAAGTACTGATCTGTCTTGAATTGATGAGTACTTCGAAAAAGAATTTTGTTTTGAAAATTCATCAGCACTGATCAGTAGCAGCACTTCAATACTTTAGGAGTACTATAGAAAGAGTACAGGCTGTTTTTCAGTCTTATAGATTATTGTCTATATTTTTAAGTCGGTTACACAAAAGGGCAATTACTTAGTGAAGCAATTCGGGCATATGGAGTGGATTTTACGCCAAAGAGTGCAAGACGTTTATTATTAACTGATAATTTGCACGAGATCTTATATCCGGGTGCACATATATCAGCCGGTATGCCCCATAAAACCTATTTTCATCACGGTATTGTTAAAGAAGTGTTAACACCAACAATTACCGTTATACATTTTTGGCAAGATCCAATTGGTGGGTGGTCTAAAATATGTGAATGTGATTTAAATCATTTTGTTGCTGCTACACCGCCAGGTCATCCGAAAGAACTATTTCGAGCATTATATTTAATTGAATATGAGAATGATACAAAAGAAAAACGTGAAGAAACTCTAGCTAGAGCGCAACAGGAATTAGATAATGAAGTTGGACAGCATACATTTGAAAGATTGGATTATAATTGTGAACATTTTGCTGTTAAATGGCGTACTGGTAAATGGGATAGTGAGCAAACACGTAAAACGAATCAAGTGCTAGAAAAACTTGATCCAGAAGTCAAGAAACAGTTAGAATGGATAAGAACTAAGTAGGCCAGAACTTTCTGTAAAGAATTGAACTGTTTTAATGCTTTTCTTTAGACTGTACTATTTAAAATTGCTTTTTCTCTTCTTTGAAATAAAACAATGCTTGGATCAAATTTAACACAAGATTTCTGTATTGACTAAAAACACTATTCTACTCTGTGAATTTTTTGTTCACATCACACTATTTCAGTGTCTTTTCATTCTCTCTCAGGTTTTACAGATTCTAGATCTATTTTATAAACGTCTTTTTCCACGGTGGAAGTTAGTGACGGTTGGATACTGTTCGAAAACCTCGTGATCACTTTTTAGATCATTTTAGACCCCTACACACTCTTTGTGGATATTTTCAATTTTAGATGAAAACAACTTTGAAGTTTGAAACTGAAAAAAGTGTCGAATTACAGAGAGTTGAACAGTGTGAAAAACTGTCACGCTGCAAATGAGGTTAATTGCGACGATACTGATAAGGGGGTCGCTAAACCAACTGACGATTGTAGGGCGGGCTGTCTTTTATGACTGTCTCGTCCACATGCATAAACCATCTCTAGCCGCTTAAGTTTCTGGCGGCGCAGAGTACTCTTTGTCGGACGTTCTGGTGCATTATCGGGCAGTTGCCGCCGATGAAAGTGCGTTAGTGGCACTGAACGTGACGACAAATGACGGATTGAGAATCGAATTGTGAAACATCCAAGAGATATATACATATATCCTCCTCCAAGAGATATATACATATATCCTCCTCCAAGAGATATATACATATATCCTCCTCCAAGAGATATATACATANTCCAAGAGATATATACATATATCCTCCTCCAAGAGATATATACATATATCCTCCTCCAAGAGATATATACATATATCCTCCTCCAAGAGATATATACATATATCCTCCTCCAAGAGATATATACATATATCCTCCTCCAAGAGATATATACATATATCCAAGGTGTTACTTTCAGCTTTGTATAGCCGAAAAGTACCAACGTTTGTGACTCGAGAGTGGCCAGTGCTTCTCCACAGGAGAGCCTGTGCCTCTTCTCTGTACAAGAAAATGTGCTGATTCAAAATCGAACGAAACGAAAGCCGTTTTGTTGCGCGTTGGAAGGTAAAGCGTGCGTATTCATTCGTTTTTATCTAACCGTGCTAGAAAATGAATGTGTTTGTGTCGGTCGTTCTCTCTCTTTAACTATATACTCACATTTATTTATTATACATTTGCAACCTTTTACTTTACAGAATAGTCAAATTGATCTTACGGGTTTTTCCTGTTTCTTTCTGTTCTGTTCATATGTCTTTTAGCCGGTGATTGCTGTTATGCCTGTTAGGATCAAAAGAACAAGGAAGAAGAAGTATAGCCCGCCTTGCATCTACCGGCTTGCAAGTGCCCAAAATACATACAAATTTAAAGCCATATTGGTCCTTGTAACCATACTTGACTATTATTATTGATGTAAAAATGATGAATACACGCGCGTTACCTTCCAAAGTAAGGTGTTCGAAGTAATTCGAAATTTGCACATGTTTTGTTTTCCTTTAAATGACACATATTCTGAGGCGTCTTGGTCTGCTGATCACGCATCTGACCTTTTTCTCAGTCGCGTGGAAGAAAAGCTTAGAACTTTTGAACGGAAAGTCATAGCAACCTGCAGTTTTCAGGGTTCAAAAGACGACAGTCGGGGGCACATGCCAACGTGGAAAAGTGATCTTCCTAGGTACTTCTTCAGACCAGTTCAGTTCAGTTCAGTTTATTCTGGCATAGCCATGGATACACGAAAAAAAAACATTGCTAGTGCAAAAGTTTGTAACAAAATAAAAACTTCGTTTGATTAAGAATCTAGGCAGATGACTTTGTCAACATGTCCATAGAGGAAGAAGAGATGATACAAACAAAATGGTAAAGAGGAGAACAAAAGAGCAAGAAAAGAAAACCAGTACAAATATT